AACGTTTTTCGAACAACACAGGTCATTTCAAGATGTAATATGGCCTAATAGAACTTAAGATGTGTTTGTTTTGTCTGCTAATGATACAGCTGTACACAGTGTATGTACAGTGTATGCTCTGCCCTGCAGTGCCCTCCATCACATGTACACTCTGTACATGTAACTTCACATATTCGCGTTGACCTCTGACCTCTGCGAGCAGCAACAGCATCCCCCCCCCCAGCAGCTGCACAGTCATATCTTACCACTGCAGCTACACTCTCTATTACATCCTCTGTCCTGGGATGTGGAAATTAGGGATGGGAATTTGAAAGCAAATGTATATTCGAATATTCAACCCCCAAAAAAACGATTAACCGAAATGTTATGTACATATCCTATAAAAAGAAAAAAAAATGTGGGATTTATTTTTTTTGAAAAATAAATAAATACATGTTCAAATAAGTATAGAAACCGAGTCGAATTTTTTCAAATGTATTGAACTGGTTTGAACAGTTGACAGCTATAGGCCTACAGCTTTCATGCTTAAAACATAACTTGGTTTTCTGATGGATTTGGACATAAACGCGAGTGAAGTATAACCGGACGAGAGAGAGAGAGAGAGAGAGAGAGAGAGACCTGCAGCTCTGCCCGCTGTGAGGGACCGGTGAGCGGAGCAAAACACACCTTTAGACCTAACACATTTAGCTATGGCACTGTGGTATACATTGAATTATTCCATTTGATAATATGTAATCAACTTAGACATCCCTCCCAAAAAAAAGATGTTAAAAAAAGATATATATTCATAACTCATATTCGAATACCTGAATAATTTAGAATATTCAATTAATCGTTCCCATCCCTAGTGGGAATATGTGATGAAGACGAGGTGAACATCTCAGTGTGTTTTCATTTCCTCCCAATTCTCTTCAGTTAAACAATCAGAAGCAAGAGAGCTGGAGAGACTTCATAAAATGTTATGTTATCTAAGACTAGCTGCTGTGTTCTGCATTATAGCTCAGCACGCAATCCCATAAATCATGCTGGGGATTACCAGGTGCCGTTGGGAGGGAGGACGGCTTCCTGTCTGCTGCTCCTCATCTGTTCGCCAGTCTCCTCTGGACTCACGACAGAGAAGGATGGATGTGGTGGTGCCGGCAGGATCCTGCGGGAGTGATGAACAGTCATTGTTATGTAATGTCCTCTCAGCGTGGATTGGTCAGGCTGTGGGGTTGTTGGTGGGCTCAGCACAGTAATCTCACAAGCATTATCTGCCTCTCAGAATCAGCGGTTGTTGTGTGCAGAACTCAGTCATCCATGCCTGCCTTTACCAAGCCAACCAATGGGCCAGGCCGCTCTGTCTCTATCCATCTTAGGCAAACGGGTTTATCCTCTCGCATGAAGTTAACATATTAAGGACCAATCTCTCCTCATTAGTTCACATATTTCCCTAAATCATCTGACTTTCTCCATCCAATTACTCCATTTTATCCAAAGACATGAGCGACTGCCGGCTATAGGATTACCATTGGTAATAATAAAATAAATAGTTATTCTATTATTAAAATATTTTAAAGCTGGATTTATAAAGGGACAAAGAATATATAAAGGTGGCGCACAACGCACTATACAAACCCCATCATTTGACCAAGTGAGTAAAGCATACATTCCTTTTATGTTGATTTCATCTGACAGCTCAAGTGAACTCTACTTTTCTTTAGAGTGAGTTATTTTATCATTGAATTGATTTTTTGCTCGATCTCATAACTTATTCCACCAGTTGTATTGGGCACAGTTTGATCGACACATACCTGAACTTTGTTTTTAAAATGTAGCAGACCCCTCAAGAAGTCAAATTGTGTGTGTGTGTGTGTGTGTGTGTGTGTGTGTGTGTGTGTGTGTGTGTGTGTGTGTGTGTGTGTGTGTGTGTGTGTGTGTGTGTGTGTGTGTGTGTGTGTGTGTGTGTGTGTGTGTGTGTGTGTGTGTGTGTGTCAGCGTGTGTGTGTATACCTGGCGGCTGCATGCGATGGCAGATTGTAAAGGTAAACCGCTGTAAACTGCGATGGTGCTTATTCTCTTACTCATGCGGAGGACACAGGAGCTGTCAGTGCTGTTGTTCCGCTGCTGGTGAAATAGTAATGAGTGTGTATAACGGTGTGGTTTACAGCTGAAGCTCTGACTGACTGACTGACTGTCGCTGATGGAGACTCAACAGGAGGCTCCGGTCACCGCTGGAAAGAAAAATATATTTAAATATGTTGTATACAAAAACTGAGTAAGGGACGTCAATACCTGATCATAGCCGTAATTTAGATCTGGCTTTCTATTGAGGGGCTTGGAATATATAAATGTGTAACAAAATTGTTTGGATTTAAAAAGTCTTCAACATTTTTCTTAGTCAAGTAGTGGATATAATAAGACCAACTTAGAACTCATAATGTAAAACATATACTGAATCATGATATATTTGACAGATATTTATGACATTGTGCTGGTTAGAGCTAAACATGGCAGATGGTGGGCACAGCAGAGATGTGTTGAGAGGCCATGAGTTGTTGTTTACTCATGATCATAAAAGAAGTGTTCTGTAATCCCAGCATGGAGATTTTGTATCTTTTGATTTGAGAAATCTGCCAAATCTGTAATTTCTCAACAGACAGCAAAGGCAGTTTCTTCCTGAGTAAGCCATAATTAAAGTGGAAAGTAAATACGCTCAGATTTCAGCTGCTGCACTGCGTGTCGCTCCCCAATGATATTTGAAACGTTTAATTAAACTTAGAAGACCCAATCTTTTGTAACAACACTGCACATTAAAACAGTAAACGGATGATTATCTCACACCACTGCCAACCGTTTGTCAAATAAACAAAGTTTGTGTAGTTTGAGACATAGACTGTACATAGAAAGGTTAGTTAATGAGGGGACATCCACTTTATTTAGGTCTCTTTTATATTATAGCATAATATGTGCTTTTTATTTATGCAAACCTTTTGTGGTGAAACATGTTGGGTTTTTGTCATAGCACAAAAAACACAAATGTTTGAGTTTTATTTGGCCTTGTCCCATAAAAGCTAAAGTGAAATTATGATAACTGCCTTGGCTTTAAAGCTATAAAAGTTTATATTTTCTTATGAAAAATACATATTTGAGGCAGTTGATGTTGTTTTAAGCTTGTTTTTGTAATGTAATGAGGCTTTGCTTGTTTCCACGTGAGCACGCTGGCTTGTGATCTGCTGACCTCCGGAGTTTCAGCTTTGGAGCAGAGCTAGATGTTCTTGCTAAGCAAACAGGTCAGGAATTTAAACTCCAGGCCTCATATTGCGCTCTCTCTTTGCCAATGTTTAACTAGAGCTGTATTTTTGGGAATTCCCATGCTGTGTCTTTTTACAGGGCTGTGTCTTCAGGCACATGGCAGGAATACTGATTTCTGCTTACAGCCACTCTTGTCCTCCTCGGGGCTAAAGAATGCTTGACATTGTGTTCATTTTGTACTTTGCACTTTGCACTTTGCAGTTTAACACATCTAACAATAGACTCCTCACTCCCTAATGTCAGAACCACGTTAGACACTCGGCCATCTGCACAGTGACTCACTTGGCTGTCATTTCACGCCATTTAACAGCCGTGTTTGGAAGTCTCAGCCTCGCCCCGGGACACCGGACCTCCTCCTCTGGCAGTGTCCCCTGCTGGGGTGTGGCCTGAGAATGGAGATTTAGCTGATCCAAATGTCCCAACCCCCCATCCAGCATGCATCATTACATTCCTACCCTTCCCTAAATCTTGATATCTTCCCCAGAGGTTTGGGCCGCTAACGGGCGGATGGGGGGGAGCATCTGTTCCCCGAGTCTTTCCTCCCTCTCAATTAGTCTCTCTTGATTTATGTCAGTCTCAATCTCTGCCATCTCCACTCACAAACACAGATATTTACACTAAAGACAGGCACAGCAGCCCTATATGTTCAGTAAATATCTTCATCTCTTCCTAAAATAGCTGGAAATGGTGATACCTTTGTTTACTTTCCATACTATGTGTGCATAAGACATGTTCAGCACACCAATCCTCTCTCTGTAAAAGACACTCATATGGACCGCTCTGTGTGTTTATGCAGGTCATAGAGCCTGACCTGAGATCAGATCACCCCCAGCTGGCCTGTGAGATGCTCAGAAACCTGACAGGTCAGTACACACCCACACAAATGGGCTAAGAAGCTGAATGAAGTGTTTTTTTTTTACTTCAGCAGGACATTGAGAGAGACATTAAATGACCTTTGGGGGGAGAGGGAGAGAAACGAAGGGTTCTTCTGACATTCTGGCTCTGCCCTTTAGATTTCTTCTAAGCTGTCCTTTCGGCCCTGAAGCTTGAACTTTCTCGTTCCTCCTGAGTATAGACGTCTGTCCGGTGGTTTGAATTGAGATTTGTGTGCTCCACATCGTGAGAAAGTTGGCAAAATCAGCCAAATGCAGCTGCTATTGGTATATAAGGTCATGTTCTACACACAGACATACCATCAAATAGGATTTTCTGACATCTAGTTTAGCGGTTGTGCTGAGCATTTAAACCCTGTATCGACATTGTGGGTTAATCATAATACCGTGATGACTACACTCACATATCCAGAGTTCATTGAGTACAGAAGCAGGTCTGAACTGTGTGTGTGAAGTGTGAAAAATGGATAGACCTGTTAGAATATAGTCTACTCATGTATGGGACGTTGAAGCAAGTGGCATGGAGGGAAGTGAGGAGTGATTCTGCACAAAGGGATTTTCTCTAGTGCAGAAACAGTCTGTCCTACTTACAGTGCAGAGACGCCACTGCAGCCTAACCTGCTGCTGCCAGCTGGTGCTGCTTTGAAATGCATCCCCCCCTCCTTCTCTTCTCCTCTTCATCTCTCTTTACTCCTCCTCTCGGAGTCTGAACAGAGAGCTCCACCCCCTCCTGCTCCCCCTCCCCCCTGCTCTTGGAGCCGCGTCCTCTCTGCGTCAGACAGCTCCATTCATGAAAAGTGTGACGTGAGCAGGTCTTCAGCGACCCGGTGACGCTGCCACCCACCCACTCACATCGCAGGTGCTGCGGGAGTTGGAGGAATGTCCGTCACTCTCCCTCTATCCCTGCTTTTCTTGCCGTTTTTCTCCGTCTTTACCATCGGTTCAGTTTTTTCTCCCCCCGATAGTCTCCCCCCCTTCCCATCCTCGCCTCAGAGCTTTGAGAGGACCATGGACCTGAGCTCTGTCTGCTGTGAGTAATCTGCTGATGCTGCGTCTTTGTCGTACATCTGCGTGGAAGCGGTGCGATGTGGAGGTACTTAAGTTCTTATATGTTGTTTTTCTTTCATGGCATTTATCTGATGTGTGTGTGTGTGTGTGTGTGTGTGTGCACATTCAATGTGTGTGTGTGTGTGTGTGTGTGTGCTGTTTGTATGTGAATCAGCTGCTGTGTCAGTGTTTGCTCAGTGCTGCAGGAGTGTGTCGAGCGGTCGTGCGTCGGTGCGTGCAGGAGCTATTTTAAGCCTCAGCGGTGATGCTGCTGCTGCTGCTGTTTTTTGATGCAGTACTTCTCTGAAGGACAGGACGAGATGTATGGAAAGGTATAGACTTGCTGAACCTCCACCTCCTGAGGGAGCAGCCATATGGTACTCTGAGGTATTATGACGCTGTGCTGACAGACTTTTTTCTGGGGCACACGTGTACTGCACACACCCACTGGCACCTCCGTATGAGCATTTAAACACATCAGATTTTCTAGATTGAGTTTCTTTTTCATCATCCTTGACTTTTGACCCCACTTTGCATCTTCATCCATCTCTTCATTGTACTCTGCAGTATGAAAGCTCTGTGTGTGCCCACCTCTGTCCTCTGTTACTAAGCATGTTTATGTAACTGCACAGGATGAGTAGCTGGCAGCCGGGCTTTAGAGGAGAGGAGGAGGAGGGGAGGAGGAGGGGAGAACTCCATCCATCCATTCTCCACACAGCGTTTAGAATAATGGCTGTATATTCACATCTATGAGGACTTTCTTTCTAGAGCATCTCGGGTTAAAAGATGAAATATTTAAACATTGATGAGGTGTATTACTGCGGAGCTAATAGAAGCACTAATGTGTATTGATTTCCTGGGGCTGAGTCTGTCTTTAGAGTACAGGACATGCAGCTCAACACACCCACTTCTCTTGTTCAGCTCCCATTTCAATCTTTAGCTCTACAGTTTTGTGTATTTTCATATTGCAGCCATTCAAATGGTGCCAGTCACAGCCAGCCTCCTGCCATATGTGTGTGTTTGTCTTGTTCTGTCACTTTTTGTGTGCGTCTGTTCCTTGTTGTTGGCGGGCCAGGCAGACCGTCCCTATTAAAGGAGCACAAGAGGGACTGTTGTGGCAGCAGCTGCTCTGGTGTGGAGTGTGTGTGGAGTGTGTGCTGCTGTCTCCTGGCCGTGCAGCGCAGACAGGCCCAGTTCACATGGAGCCGGCTCCTCTTGTGTCCTTTGTTGTCGCTCTGGGAGTCTTTCCCATTGGAGCGTGCTAGGTACAGTATCGTGCCGCGAGCAACCACAGCAGCAGAAAATCACTTTCTCCCTTTTTTATTGTTCGTCGCTCTTTCATTTTCAACTCTTTCTCTGTTTCCAGCCATGTAATTGTCCTCGCTATCTTGCTCATTCATAACCTTCCATGTCCTCTTCTGTGTGCTTTTCTTCCTCTACTTTTCTCTAAGCTATTCTCCCCCTCCACTGTCTCCTTGGCCTCACCGTCCCTTTCTGTCTGTTTGCATTCATCATCTCTTTCCGGGTGGATCTGGTTAGCACTCGTAAAAAGAGCTCCATAAAGCTTTTTCCTGTTAGAATAGCTTGGAACAAAGAGCATGCTTGACTGAAAAGGCCGATATTGAAGCCCTGTGAGTTTTTATAGAGCCGAGTTAGCTTGGTAGTTGCAGATTTTAGGAGGCTGTGTGTCCTGGATGCAGTGGCTGGGAGAATGAAGCCAGAGGGAGAGTGTGTGACGTGTCGATGGCGCACACTCTTTTCTTCAGTTATTTATTTTTCTCTGATTCTGGCTCGTACTGGCTGAGGCTATTTGAGGCACGAGTTGTGTTGTGTTTGGACTCACAGTCTTGTTAACCCTGAACTTAATGTGTTATTCTGCTAGAGCATTTTGTTTAGCTGGGTCTGTTAAACTCATTCACAAACACGCAGTCAGTCATTGATGTTTTGGATTTCAGAAGGAGAAGCCGAGGTGTAGCTGTTTTGGTTTTCATCCTCCTGTCAGTTAACTGTGAGTTTCAATCACCCACCTGACCCTCTTCCTCTCTCTGATAAATCCATTCTTCACAGCAAAAAAGGCAAATTCAAGGTGATGATTTCCCTCAGTTGGGCCTCAGCAGGCGTTGCCTTGACCTTGCTTTTATTTCCCATGCAACCCCAGGAAACTCCAAACAGGCAGGCAGGGATTATTGCTGTGTGGCTAGTTTCCCCCTCCAGCCACCACCAGGTACTTGAACCAGCTCAGGTGAGTCACCATAGGGAATCGGAAGATGAAGAAACAGGGATTATAGGGAAATATCGGCTGTGTGACGGCAGATTCCCGAACGCTGTGCCAGAATTTGTTTATTTTCCTCCACCGCAGCAGATTATTACTTTCACCCACCTACAGCCGGCTGTCCAATCCCCTCTGGCAGGACTCATGGCGAGGGAAAGCTGATTTAGACATCGGCCCACATCCGACTATCAAATCAGGGCCAGAGTCGTGTTTCCGATGATGTTCATATTGCTTCAAATGTTATAATTCTTTCTGCCTCGTATGACAAAGAAATCTATGAACAGCGTGCTTCCTGATTTCTGTTTCATAACATTTATTACTCACATGATGAACTCTAGCCATGAAAGTCCATAGTCTGCATTGACAAGAGAGACGAGTACAGATACCAGAGTTCAGCTGTTCAACTGTGACCCAGAATAACGGTCGCATGTGTCGCTCAGCACAAAGAGAGTCCACGGCTACTGATGGGAAGAGACTTTTGCATTCGTCCAGTTTTATTATACTTTAATACACTTATTGATCACTTGCGGTGCTCTCATCGGAGACGAATGCTGCTCTCTGCATCAATTTATTTCTCAGTTTGTTTTAAGCGAGGAGTTCTTGAGCAGGTATTTATCTTTCCTTCGACATAATCTGTGTTTTACTCTTGTTCAGTGTTGAAGTCATATGTCTGTGTATGTAATGTTATCTTATTCGTTGTTAAAGGGGTTGGTATGAGACAGAAAGGTGTATCCATCTTCTTTTGGGATGACAGCTATAACATGTACATTGTTGTTAAAGAAAAGTAAATACATTCTGATGCGCAAAATATTATTTGGGAAAGTTGACCCACTCTCAACTTTAGAAAACGGTGAACACACAGTATGTTCTTTAAAACCAACCCTATTCTTCTCCCCCTGTGTGACAGCCTGAGTGGATTCAAAAAGGTTTTTTTGGCCTCTCCAAACCTGAGTGTTGGATGAGACTGAGTGTGACTGGTAGCAGAAGGTCAGGATGGATGCTGTGTTGACATGGTAACGTGTGAATGATGAGGTGGGATAGCGGCTAAATTGGTTCTTTGTTGGTGGCGCAGCTGTCACCTTTAAGGGGAGGTTCCCCCTGTGGGGCCCAGCAGGGCTTCCCTTAATGAGGAGCGGGATGATAGAGACATAGAGGACTCTGCTGCTGCTGTGTGTGAGTGTGAGCATGAATGCAATGCGCCCCTCTGTGTGTGTTAAAGGTCTGTCTGTTGCTGCATTAATATAGTGTGGAAGGTCCAACTGCTTTTGTGAAGATACAGTCTGTAGAAACAAAATCGAAACAACCATTTTGGGATTTGCTGAGTGCCTCAAAAAAAAACACTCCACTCCCCAGAGGATTGCTGGGAGTAGTGGGATTATTGGATCCTGCCGGACACACCCCGGGCATGTGTGTGGGTGTGTGTGTGCGAGCACGTGTGGTCTCAGAACCTGATCCCACTGCATCGCCAGCTGCCATACACACACACACACAAACACAAACACACACTCATATAAAGTGTGGTGTAGTACAGAATATCAGTGAGTTCCTTCTCTGCCACAGCTATAAGTGTGTTCATACACTAAGGATGCTCTAGCTGTGATGCTGTTGACATTAGGTGGCCTTTAGAGAGGAAAGAAATGAAAGGAAGTGTTTAGAGGATACATAGAGGGGGAGGGCTGAATAGGGTCTGTGTTTGTACAAGCTTGTCTCTAGAGCCCTAGAGGGATTAAAGGATCAGCCCCTGATCATTTCTCTCTCTCTCTCTCTCTCTCTCTCTCTCTCTCTTCTCTCTATCCATTCTGCTGACCATCTGCATTGTTACATTCTCTGAAGCTATATCTAGCATACTCCATGCAAACATGTAGCAAACAGCGGTCATTGTGTCCTTTTGCCCAGTCACGGTCTCTTTCGGAAAGTCCTGTAAATAAATAAATGTGGAAATGAAATCCGGACGCCCAAACATTATTCATGGGATTCAATGCACATGGAGATCTTCCATTAGAGATTAATGGGAGAGAGCGAGAGGTCCGTTTCCTATTGTTGGCATCAGATATAGATGCACGTACTCCTGATTCAGCCTGTGAGGAAGGAGAGTACACATGGGTCAAACTTACAAGAGGCACAAAGGCATCAGGTTTTATGTCAGACTGTGCCCTGTAGTGAAAAGAAAATGGAGCAGTTTTAGCTGGGTTATAGGGGTTACAGTGCTTGAGGGTTTTTGTCCAGCCGACCACATCCACCCGGCGTGGCCCACGTCAGAAGCCCACCTCCGAGAATTGTCCGTGGGGTGGAATTACAGCGCGGGCCCCTACTCGCACAGCTCGATTGTCTTGGCTGTGGAAGGGACGGATTTATTGGATACCTGAGAGAGCATTCTCTCCTTCCCCTGCACTCTCAGCAACCTGCTTAGAGACGGCCCTGCATTATAGATGAGCTTCTGGCAGCCACTACACTCTCACAGCGCTCAGGTTACCCCCCCCCCCCCGATAGACACACACAGATACAGTACATGCATTCACACAAACATGTAAGCGGCATCTGCTCGGAGCAAAGGTCTAGGACACATCTCATGTAACTGAGAGCATCTCCTGTCAAGGATTTTGAATCCCCCTGCTCCTTCCCCATCTTTTCTGTTATTATCGTTTCCCAAAGGGAAAAATGTCAAATGCATTATTAAACACACACACATGTTGGACTGTGGATTGCAGGCTTGAGGTCAAAGCTTTGCAGCATTTCAGCATCAAAGTTATCTGTATCCATGGGGTCTACTTTTTGTACTTTGACCCATGCCCAAAGGAAGAACTGTGCGTTCATGCCAGTGTTCGCGGCAGAGGGCAACATAAACAAAGTGCGTTTCAAAAGGACTTCATGGCCGGCGTGTCCCCTTCAGGAAACCTCCACGTAACACAGAGCCAGCTCACAGCCTCTCGGTCTCCTACCTCCTGGACTTTGATCTGCTGTTCCGACTGTACACACTGTACAGCCTCTATCTATATCGCTCTCTCTGTTTCCTACTGTCCCTTCAAAGTTGATTGGATTTCTAAGGGCATGTCCTCCTGGAGATAAAGGGAGAGAAAGAACTGCACTCATGCTGGTATCTGAGTTGTGTTTCCTGTAACTCTTAAACGCTGCATGTCTGAAACTTTGTTTATTATGCTCCTGCCTCTCTTGCCAATACGTTTTTCTTTATCTCAATTAAGCGTTTCCTGATTAAATACATCTCAAATAAGTGAAACACATTTTAGCTATAAATCCTCATTATCAAGATTAAAGATTGTATCCAAAAAGTTCATCATTTATGACACCGGAGATGTTCATTCGCTTATGAAGACTGTGAGGTGTTATTGGGATTTGTGTGTTGCACCATATTATCCTTGTTTATCCTTGTTTATTCTTTAAGCTGTTAAATCCTCTACAACTGTACATATATATTTTCCATTTGCCACGTTTGAGAAATATGTGTTCTCAGGTTTTGATGACCACTGGGTTGAAACAATATGAATAGATGTACTTTTAGATTAATCAAATAAAAGATTTTTCAATATACTTCAAGCTATTCCTTTTAATATCTCTGTATTTGGCCATTGCAGACTAAGGTGCAAATAAAAAACAGCTCTAATTAATGGATTTTTATAACACTTTTCAATAGTGGGACAATTTCTTGTGATAATATGTTCATTTTTCAGGCATTTAATTAGCTAGAGTAACAAAACACAGACACACCTGTCTACCACTATCCATAGCCTACATACACTAATAGGCAGTGTAGAGGGTTTGGATGTTCCGCTCTGCAGCTGGCTAAGGGCCCGTGGTGGCTCCTGCCGGCCCTGCTGGTTACTAAGCAGTGAGAATGGGATGTGCGTGGCAGATGTTTTGCTCTCAGCTGTCCTAATACACATCAAGACTTAATCCCTGCTATACTGTTACTGCTGCACAGAGGTGTGTGTGTGTGTGTGTGTGTGTGTGTGTGTGTGTGTGTGTGTGTGTGTGTGTGTGTGTGTGTGTGTGTGTGTGTGTGTGTGGTTTAGCCCGACTGTTTCCCGGAAGTTTCCCAGAATTGCGTTATTTTTATCCGCTGTGCAATGTCTTTCATTCAAAAATCCTGTCTTGTGTGCCCTGATTTAAAGCCTTTCTTATATGTCTGATCTCCTCCATCCTGTAGTGTTTGCACTCCCAGTTAAAAATAATCATCATTAATGTAAGCTCTCTCAATCCCAGATCCATGAGAGGAAATGAGAGGATTTCATTTCTCCTGGTGGAAGTAATAGGTTCCCATGGCAACAGTTTGTGTTTATGTTGTGTGGGGGTGTCTACAATCATCCAAATGGATAATCTGTATTTCATTTCCTATGGACGTAATATTGTAGATAACCCCCCCCTCTTGTTCTTGTGTCCACTCTGCAGGTGATTTTCAGCATTCAGACAAACCAGTGTGTTAGGACGCACCCCGCTGACTGTCACTGGGTAGCCCATGCACGTGCACGACACCATGGGTAGCTCCCCCGAGGTGCTTTCGTGGACGCCCTGCCCCAGTCTCTTGGTGGGCAAACTGAAAGAGGAGCTCAAACTCACCGTGGTCGGGGACAACATGAAGAACTCAAACGCGCCCAACTCTCAACCTCAGCCTCCTCAGGCGCCTCCTCTCAACCTACCTCCTCAGATTATCACGGACCTCGCCCCGCCGACGCACCTGCCCGTCCCCCTGCAGACCCTGCAGACGCCCGTTCAGGACGAGGACTCATTGCTGGGGGGTGTAACTCCCCCGAACATAGCCTTGAGCGTGGACTCAACCCGGAGCGAGGGCGGACACTTTGACAACAGCGTGCTCCAGCTGCAGGAGCAGAGCCACGAGGAGGCCGGGTCTCCGAACGCTCCCTGTGAGCACGGCTGTGGGAGTGTGACGGAGGAGCAGATGTTAGACTGTCCAGCAGACTACAGTGAAGAGGGGGGGGAGACCCAACACCACCACCACCATCCTCACCCCGATGACATCAAGCTGCACTTCCACAGAGCGGGGCCCGGCTCGGGGGGGTTCTTGGAGGGGCTGTTCGGCTGTCTACGACCTGTCTGGAACATCATAGGAAAAACGTACTCGACAGAATACAAGCTACAACAGCAAGGTGAGTTCTGGGTTTACGTTTCTTCAGGAAACTTAATTCTCTGTGTTTAATTCAAATGTCCCTTTAAGCCTTCTGAAAAACAAACTCTAGTTCCCTCCTGTTTCTCCTGATGTAGTCTGAAACTGTAATTGAATAGCCGGCTCCAGCTTCACCATATTGCCGTTGTGGGCGAGGCGGGTCAGCTGTCAGTCTAAATCGAGGTCATGGTTAAGGTAGAGTCGCACAGAGTCGAGGTCAGACAGAACTGGGCTGGGTATCGTGGTTTCTTAGCTAATGTCCAAATGTGGCTGGAGATGTCAGCATCATAGCTTCTCCTCCGCTCTGCTTCCTAAACCCCATAGCAAGGATGGAAAAGTATATGATTCATCGTTTGACAGATATAGCAGTTATGCACAGGGCGTTGTATTTATTTGCTTGGTTTGGCCTGAAATATGACATTTAGTGTGAATCATGTTGGGTGTGTTTTTCTTTTTCTATAACTCTGATGTGTTCAAATGATTGGTCATTACAAACCCAAATTACATGTGTCCCTTATTTGAAAGTTTTTTAATTAGGTTCAACCTCAAGAAAAATGGGGATTTATTTTAAAGAACTTTAGGAGGTACGGCTCCGTTTAGCCAAGATGTTATTCACGCCCAACCCAAAATAAAATAGAAAAATGGTAATCTTTACTCTTGTTTTTATTTTTTATTATTAAATTAAACAAACAAGTATTTAATTAGTGAGCTTAAGTTGTACTTTTAAAGCCAGTCTAACTGTATCTGCCCATTTCCTTTGTGCTAACTGTGCTGCTAGCTGAAGCTTCATATTTACTGTTCCTTTTTTAGTTAACTCTCAGCAAGGAGACAATGAGCTTAGTTTCGAACGATTCCTCTAAAGAGCAAATAAGAGCATGGAAGAAAAAAAGGGACAGAAAGAAAAACAATTGACAATACCGTTCACACTGTTGCATAATATTTTATTTTGACAAAATGTCATCTTCTTGTTTCCAGACATGTGGGAGGTTCCATTCGAGGAGATCTCAGAGCTGAAGTGGCTGGGCAGCGGTGCTCAGGGCGCCGTCTTCTTGGGAAATTTCCGCTCTGAGGAGGTGGCCATCAAGAAAGTGCGTGAGCAGAAGGAGACGGACATCAAACCCCTGAGAAAACTCAAGCACCCAAATATCATCAGCTTCAAGTAGGAATAACAGCATGTTACCTGATGGTATTCAAATGGTCAAGGTTGAAACATGTTGTCATTATCAGGATCCATCGGTCTTTAAACCATTGTTCCTGTTGTTTGTCCATCTCAGGGGTGTGTGCACCCAGGCGCCTTGCTACTGCATCATCATGGAGTACTGTGCTCAGGGCCAGCTGTATGAGGTGCTGAGGGCCGGCAGGAAGGTGACCCCCAGGATGCTGGTGGACTGGGCCACGGGCATCGCCAGCGGCATGAACTACCTGCACCTGCACAAGATCATCCACAGGGATCTCAAGTCTCCCAAGTGAGTTTCCTCCTTTCCTGGTACTTTAGAATGAAAGTGTATTTCGTTTTAGGGATGCAAAATTAATAAGAATATTAATTATAACGATAATATAAAGCCACATTTCTCATTGGTTAGTGATCGGCCCCAGTACTACTCGGACTAGAGCCAGACATGTCCTAGTTTGGATGTTGTTCACAGTTTCAAAGGAAAACAACACATTGGCAAAATAAGTTTTAATGTTCTTTATTTTGTTTTGTTTTGTAAAAACTATAATATCAGTTAGGTTAGAGCTGGGATATTGAATCATCCATTTTTGCTGACTACATCCTATCCTTTCTTAATCTTAGGTAAACTATAGGTTATGAACTTCTGTACTTTAAATATGTGAAATTATCAATTATCTTATCACTATCAAACATGAAAAGCTTACATTTAGTATTTACATTTCAGCTCTCACCACTTTGTTTTCTAATACTATGCAAAATATTCTTATATTCTTTACATTGAGTGGGTCCCCCACTTATAATTGTGTTGAATAGTAATAGATATAATTTAAATTTCAATGCGTCGGTACGCATATGTTTTCTTGTTTTTTCCCTGTTATGTAAAAGCCCTGCTGTGGTACTTCAAGTTGATTAGCAACAACAATTCATCCATTCATCTGTTTGGAGTCTTGACGTTAACTAATGTTATTCTCAGAAATAATAAAACCCTCTCTCCTTCGACAAGAGTCGAAACAGTGTCCTGCTCCTCCTCCCCTGCACACTGTAGCCCTGTTCCTCTAATCGATATCATCATGCTGCTGCAGTGCCAAACACTGTATTAGTCAGCAGAATGATAGCAGGCTACTGACTGTGCTGGAAAGGTCAGTCTCATTTCGCTAATGGGCTGATTCAGATGTACAATTGTGCTTCTGTAGCCATCTTTTTGGCTTGGGGATTTAAATGCTACAAAAAGAATGTCAACCCCCTTTAAAAGCAGTGGAAATGTCACAGGATAAAGTCTGAAAGGTTTAACACAGGTTCATGTGACCTGGATTAATGTCGCTCTGACACTGCTTGGCTTCAATATGATGTTTTTATATGAACACTATAATTACTAGAGGAGGATAAAGATTATTACAGGACCACCGTAAACTTGTAGAAGCTTTGTCTTTCTTGGTTCTCTAGATTAAACCTTGCTGACAAGTTTTCTGTCTGTGTCTGTTTTTCAGTGTTTTGGTCACATACAACGACACTGTGAAAATCTCTGACTTTGGAACGTCCAAAGAGCTCAGTGACAAAAGTACAAAGATGTCATTTGCGGGTACGGTGGCCTGGATGGCCCCAGAAGTGATAAGAAATGAGCCTGTGTCGGAAAAAGTAGACATCTGGTAAGTACTAAAACTACACAGTGAAGAAATGTAAAGTCATTAATGTGGAGCTGTACTGACGCCTTACTCTCTTTGCTTTTCTGTTGAAGGTCATTTGGGGTCGTGTTGTGGGAACTTCTGACCGGAGAGATTCCCTACAAAGACGTGGACTCATCCGCCATCATTTGGGGTGTGGGCAGCAACAGTCTCCACCTTCCTGTCCCCTCCACCTGCCCGGATGGCTTCAAAATCCTCATGAAACAAACATGGTGCGTGTGGATAACACTGTGTATTCTGTTTTAAGGTTTGGTGCTACGTCTATACTTTAAGACAAATGCTAACGGCGCCTCCTTACCGTTCTCATATAATTACATATCGTCTCCCTGTTATTTGCTTATTTTAGGCAAAGCAAGCCCAGGAATAGGCCCTCATTTCGTCAGATCCTCCTACACCTCGACATTGCTGCTGCTGATATCCTGGGAGCTCCTCAGGAGACCTACTTCAAGTCTCAGGTCGGCCCTACTTTACTCAATAACCTCCACTTTGTATTTGTCACAGGACTTTATACAATTGCAAACACAACTTTCCTGTGCTTAAATAATAAAGTAGTACACAAGCCAGTAGATAAGATAGATAGTATTAATCTCTTTATTATATTCTCTCTATACTAATAACTATTATACTATCTTAGTGCTGAGTCTCATTGAATATGTGTGCAAGAGTGGATTTTCATTTTTCTTTGTATGTGTTCATCCATATTACAGTCAGAATGGAGGGAGGAAGTGAAGAAACATTTTGAGAAGATCAAAAGTGAAGGCACTTGCATCCACAGGCTGGACGAGGAGCTGATCCGACGCAGGAGGGATGAACTCAGGTGTGTAGGGAGGAGAGACACAAGGAGGCATGATTTACAGGTAGAGGAAGCAGCAGGCAACCCATAGCTTGTTGTGGTTTCAAAAGTATTTGAATGACATACTCCTTGTTAATGATGTAGCTTGGTAATGAGTTTGGAAGTAAACATTTGTATGCATTTCCTAAACTCTCTCAGGCACGCACTGGATATCCGGGAGCACTATGAGAGGAAGCTGGAGCGAGCCAACAACCTGTACATGGAGCTCAGCGCCATCATGCTGCAGCTGGAGGTCCGCGAGAAGGAACTCATGAAGTATGTCAATAAATCCTTCATCAGGGTATTCATCAGCTAGATGTGCTGCTGTCCTGCTCCCTTCCTCAGTATCAGACCTTACTATTATTTGCTCCTTATAAAAGGTTTTTCCAGCAATAAAATAATGGAGATCTTTACAATGGTCCGTCAGGAGGACAAATGTTTGTATATTTAGTTAGTGAGGAGAATAGAGAAAAAGTAACTATTTTCAGTCAGTTTGTAACACTAGAACAATAGGGTGTTTTATTAGATTAGATTTTAATCCTTTATTGTCACTACACACAGTTAGGGCTGCTCAATTAATCATATTTTAATCGCAATTACGATTATGGCTTGCAACGATTACGAAAACAACGTAATCGAAATAAAACGATTATTTTTTTATTATTCAGTTGAATTATGCTTAAAGTTCAGGGTAATCAACTGATAAAAACATACTGTTCACATTTTTTTCTTCAATAAATTGATGTTTTCAAAGTAAATGGATAATCGTTTTTAATATCAATTATTGACCCAAATAATCGAGATTATGATTTTTGCCATTATCGAGCAGCCCTACACAGAGTACAGCGAAAGATTCACATCACTATTAATAATAATAAGTATAACTTTATTGATACAGCACTTTTCAAAACAACGTCACAAAGTGCTTTACATGGATTAAAACAAACCGTTCAGTTGGCAACAAAGCATGAGAAATTCCCCAAACCCACCCAATAAAATATCCAGCATTTCATAGCAGCAGTCATACAAAAAAAGAAAGAAGGTAAAAGAAATAATACATGGATGTTAAGTCGAACAGAGTGGTATCATCATTAGTTATAAGCTTTAATAAAAAGGAGAGTTTTAAGAAGTGATTTAAAAGATGTCCCTGATTCAGACGTGTGTTTTACATGGTTTTCACATTTTGGCTGCACTTCTCAGGCAACTACTTATTTTTGCTTGGGAAATGAACCTCAGATTTGTTTGCCAATTCCGTGATACATTTTTTCCCCCGTGAGGATTTCTCCCTCTTCTGAAAAATTCCTGTATATTTTGTCCTGTGTTTTCCAAAAAAACAAAACAATCAAAGAAATAAATAAAATAGAAAGTAATTTTTTGCATTCAAACTGAAAGAGGGATCATCTGTATTGGTTTCAGATCAATTGTGGAGTAATGTTAGTGTTGGTTAAACTCTTGAAACTGTGTGTGAATGCTGCGCTCTGTTAAGTACCGTAATTTTCGGACTATAAGCCGCGCCTTTTTCCCTATTTTTCGACGCTGCGGCTTATATAACGGTGCGGCTAATCTATGGATTTGTACAGCTAACGGCCACCACCTTTAACTCTATGGGCTCTATGGCCGGTCCGCGGACCCCCACCTTTAAGCGGCGGGTTCCAGCAGGAAAAGCTGGAGGCCGGAAAAGAGTGAGACAGGTAGCGCGCAAAAGTAAAAGTGGAACCAAGAGTGGTATGACGCTGCTGCGGCTTATATTCAGGTGCGCCTTATAGTCCGAAAATTACGGTAACTCCAAACTAATTCTGCCGCACCTGCAGGAGAGAGTCGGCAGTGGAGAAGAAATATCCCGGAACCTATAAGCGCCAGCTGGTCCGACCCATCGTCAGGTCCAACGCTGTCGAGAAGCTCATCAAGAAGAAGAGCAGCATGTCCCACAAACCTGGGATGCCCAACACCAAACGGTATGAACTGTAGAGAATCGAGCAGCTCATTTGAAAAGTATGACGCCAAACATCGATTAGCATTGGCATTCTCAGGTTCATCCAGATGATGAGTTACAAATTGATCTGTTAAATAATTGACATTGGGCCATTGAAGTTTAAAAAGGAATTACAGGGGTATAATATTCAGTGTAAAAACTACATTTTTGTAAAGTGATAACAAACAACAACAATTTCCAAGCAAAATATTCTCTGGGGTTTTAAAGTCACTAATAAGAGAAATAAACTCTCCAATACGCCACTGTACAACTCGTATAAACTAATACAGACTTACTTAATTAGGTTCTAGTAAAGCCAGAAGTTGAAGTTTTACACATTGGACATAAAGTTATGAGGAAAATAAATAAATTCAGATACATTATGTAATGTTAAATAAATGCCATTCTTTCAGGCCGGACTTGCTTCGCTCTGAAGGCATCCCGGGCCTGGACCACCTCCCCTCCCCCTCGCCTCTCTCCGCCAGCCCCAAGATCTCCACCCCTCCCGGTAAAGCCCGCTACCGCAGCAAGCCTCGCCATCGCCGCGCCAACAGCAAGGGCAGCCACAGCGAGTTCCCAGGCCTGCTGAGGCCTCTCACCGCAGCGTTAGAAGAGTCCCAATCCCTCCAGGAGCAGCCGTTCCTCCATCACCACCACCACCACCTCCCAACCACAGAGGGGCCTCTTCTCCCCCTGAAGGGCCGCGAGGAGGCCGTTGTCAACTGTGCCAACAACCTTCGTTACTTCGGCCCCGCAGCCCCTCTCCGCAGCCCTCAGACGGACCACCTGCAGCGCCGCGTCTCCGGCTGCAGCCCCGACCTCATATCCACCGCTGTGGACGCAAACACACGACAGCGGACTTCATCCACCAGCACCAGCCTCGCTGCTGGTGCTGGTGCTGGGTCTCTGTGCCCCTGCTGCCAGGCCCATCCCTTCCCCGGCTGCCTACACTGTCAGGAGACCCCTCCTGCGGCCAGCCACCCGGAGCTGCCTCACTACTCCCTGCTCAACACCCAGAAAGGCTCCGTGTCCTCTTTAGGGGCCCAGAGCAAAGACCCCACCTCGGACGGAGAGGCCGCAAAGAAAGCTGAGCCGCAGGAACAGCAGGCATCCCAACGCACTCACATCCTGGCCAGCGCCCTGCCCCGGACCCTCAGACCCCTCAGGAAGGTGAGCAGAGCCGTGTGTGTGTGTGTGTGTGTGTGTGTGTGTGTGTGTGTGTGTGTGTGTGTGTGTGTGTGTGTGTGTGTGTGTGTGTGTGTGTGTGTGTGTGTGTGTGTGTGTGACAGCTGTCATTTCTTCCCTCACAGGGTGGGGATGAGTCGTCTGAAGAGGAGGAGGGAGAGGTTGATAGTGAAGTGGAGTTTCCACGGAGACAGAGGTAAAATCTAGTTGGTTGCTAAGTCTGCCACCTCGACCTTCACTGTGTTGTAAAGCTGTTACATGACATGCTGCAAAAAAAGGACAGGCCAATACAGCACCATAACCAATATAATCACTGTAGTTTGCTGTATACAATGAAACACGTATAAAGCAGTATATAAATGGAACAACTGGATTAAAATAATGTATGTTTTCTTCCTCCGCTGCCTCACAGGCCTCATCGCTGTATGAGCAGCTTCCAGTCCTACTCCACCTTCAGCTCAGAGAACCTGTCGGTGTCTGACGGGGAGGAGGGGAACACCAGCGACCACTCCCACAGCGGGCCCCTGGAGAGGCTGAGCACCAGCCAGGAGGAGCACCTGGACGAGCTGCTGTCCCACACCCCCGACATCCCCATCGACATCTCCACCCAATCAGACGGCCTCTCCGACAAGGAGTGCGCCGTCCGCAGGGTGAAGACCCAGATCTCCCTGGGGAAACTGTGCTCCGACGAACACAGCTACGAGGTCAGTACTGTGGTTAAAATCTGTCATTATAGCCATGCAGAGTTGGGAAGTAGCAGAGTTCCCGTTAGAATATCTTTTCGCCGTTCAACATGTCCGTTAAAGTTAAAATCTTCCGGACAAAATTAGAAAAGTGCCGGTCAAAGGTCTTCTTTGTTATTTATTGAGCTTTAAAACAAATTGATATAATTTAAATATTAAACAAACTAATTATAGTAGATTAACTACATTATTCAAAAGTGTACAGTCATTTATAATAAACGGAGCGCTCTCTCCCTCTCCTGACAGCCCGTCAGTATCATGCAGCTCGCGGATCAGTAATGAGTGACCCGACAGTGAAACTAAACATATTTATAACTAGTTTGTTAGTTTGAGAGGTAATTAAAATAGCTAGGCCTACGTGTGATATTCTAACCTGAAGTGTGTGTTTTGTTCCGCTCACCGCTGCAGGTTATGAAGGTAGATATGGTGCAAAATGCGAGAGCGTGTAAATCCTGATGTGAGCACTTGCAGAAAAAAAATCTGAGCTTGTGTGCATACACTTACACTTGTATAAAAATATCCACGTAACTGTGAACCAAATGTACACTTGTATAAAATATCCACGTAACTGTGAACCAAATTTGAAGTCACAGAAGAAAAAAAAAGTTTTTGTAGCTTGTAGAAAAAAAATGAACTTAGTGATGAAATGTTCACTTGCAGAAAAATACATTTTTTAAAAATATATTTTCCATTACAACTGCAACTTGGTTATTACAACCTCTCAAATCAGTCATTACAACTTGACGAATCTGCTCTGTGGCAGTATAAATCGACGAATCTGCGGTCTTGACTTTTGCTACACTTCTTGCGATAAATGTGTCGCAAAAGTAATTTTCACCTGTAGATCAGCTGTAGATTTGGGGGGAGGGAGGGGGGTTGGAGCGAAGGGGCGGAGCTATCAGAACGACGAGGCTTGACTGCGGGGCTAACGGTTGTGTCGCTACCAGGCCGCTGACATGGCGCGTCAATCAACGGTAAGTTTTGCCTATTACTTTCCCAGTATTACTTTGAATATTATTATTGTGATTGAGGATTAAATCCGCTTTGAAGACAACCGTTTTATATTGTGCAGTTTAGCGGCAAAATAACGTCAGTTAGCCAGCTAACGCTAGCTGTGTTGAGTTTATGCTAGCTAAACAAGTAGTGGTTGTAGTCTACAGCAGTAATTAATATATTATAGCCTATTGCTTTGGCACTAACGGTGGTGTTTTCAAAGCCTTTGTAAATTATCCATGCTATTTTCTATTTTGAACGAAGATTTCAGAATCTTAAAATTCCTTGACGTTTATATGCAATTATGCTAAATTCAACTCTGGAATCAAGCAAATATTAATATGTTTGCATGACATTAGTTATTTATATTTTGCCATCACTTAATTATACGTTTAATACATTTAAGTCAAGCTAAGGTACATGTGATGGTAGCTAGTTAATGCTCTTACCTGTGATGCCTCCTCCAAACAGCATAATAACCAGACTACCATTAAAACTAAGTATCAGTTCTAGATCCTTGACTTTAGACAAACAATTCAAAATGTATTTAAAGACCAATCTTTATTTGAATGTGCCTCTTAACCTGATATATTAGTTATACAGTAATAGTATTGACAATCTTAAAAAACTGAGCAACTCAACTGTCAACTTTATATTTCTTATTCTAAAGCATTTATTTTAATTTCCCCCCTCATATTCACTGTGGACGGATTGAGACAGCGTGTTGTCCAGAGAGCTGCAGAGACTTCAGGGAGAAACCTCCGTGTGATGGATGTCCTGTGTGTTTGTTTGGAGAGCACTGAGGGGCCCTTTCTCATTTCATCAAATCCCCCTCCTCGACTGCTCGGTCCTCCGGTTGTGACCCGGAAATGAATTTCAGCGCGCCATGTTGAAGGACATCTCATTTCTCTAAATGCACTTCGAGGACCGAGGATCGAGCGTCGAGGAGGCTCTCTGGAGGAGCTATTTAGAGAAATGAGATGTCCTTCAACATGGCGCGCTGAAATTCATTTCCNCAGTGAGCGGGTGGGGCCGCCTCTTATGCAGTGGATTAGCGCGCATTCAGGTAGGCCCACCCAGGGGGCCGGCTACGGGTATAAGTCTCAGTGAAAGAATGCGTGCATAGATAGGATTGAGGGGAGTACCCATAGAGTCCAGTAGAGGGCTCCAATGTGCTTATATAACATGGGTTACCACACGTAACCCTACGTTATAGGCTTATAAAGTGTGGAGAAAAACATAGTCAGCTGATCGAATGCACCTATTTCCACATCTACACTCCATCAGCTGATTATTTCTATTTGCCTCACTTTATGAGCTTCACAACACGCCTTGTACCACAGAGTTTGCAACATCACAAATACATGGGGCCAATCTTCAGTCAGATGTGAATGTATTGAAATGTGAACCAAAAGTTAATCAAAAATGTTTTAAATAAAAAGCACATATGGACAGAAGGTGT